CCCCCACTTGACTTGCAAGCCCTTTTTTAGTAGTGAGGCTGCTTACTTAACCCTTGTTTGTCATATTTGTTGCAGGTAGATTTTCCCCACCAAGATTACTAGTATTGTTTGCCTTACATCTTTCTAAGCTGTTTTTTTTTTTTTTAATGTTTAAACTTTTCACTTGGTTAAATGTCAATCTTTGTGATGTTTGTTGCTTTTAGCCTCAGAAAGAATACCAGTGATCAAAGCCTATTTACCTACACACTTTCTTTTTTCCCTATGCTTTCTTTTTTATTTTGAGTGAGGATTACTGAGAGAGAGAGAGAGAAACATCAATGTGAGAGAAACATAAATTGGTTGCCCTCCAAACGTGCCCCAAATTGAACCTGCAGTCTTTTTGGTGTATGGGACAACACCAAATGCTCCAACCAGGGCCATTCTTTTTCTTAATGAAGGCCTCCCAAATGATATGTTTCAGGTTCCACAAAACCTGTATCTGCCTTCAACCCTTAGATAAATATCTTGGCAAAGATTAAGCCTTATTCATTCAGAAGATCTGCTTATAATTTGTCCCCTTAGCCTCTTAGACAATGAAACTTCTTGCCCTTTACTCTGATTTTGACACTTTTTTTTTTTTAAATATTTTATTGATTTTTTACAGAGAGGAAGGGAGAGAGATAGAGAGTTAGAAACATCGATGAGAGAGAAACATCGATCAGCCGCCTCCTGCACATCTCCCACTGGGGATGTGCCCGCAACCCAGGCACACGCCCTTAACCGGAATCGAACCTGGGACCCTTCAGTCCGCAGGCCGACGCTCTATCCACTGAGCCAAACCGGTTTCGGCTGATTTTGACACTTTTAAAAATATATATATATACTAGAGGCCTGGTGCACGAAATTCATGCACTTGGGGGGGGCCCTCAGCCCAGCCTGCACCCTCTCCAATCTGGGACCTCTTGGGGGATGTCTGGCAGTCGGACAACCCTCTCACAATCCGGAACTGCTGGCTCCCAACCGCTCGCCTGCCTGGCTTCCTGATCACCCCCTAACCACTCCCCTGCCAGCCTGATCTACGCCTAATTGCTCCCCTGCCAGCCCGATTGCCCCCAACTGCCCTCCCCTGTGGACCTTGTCACCCTTGTCCTCCCCTGTAGGCCTGGTCGCCCCCAATTGCCCTCCCCTGCCGGCCATCTTGTGGTGGCCAACTTGTGACCACATGGGGTGGCCATCTTTGACCACGTAGGGGCGTCCATCTTTGACCACATGGGGTGTCCATCTTTGACCACATGGGGTGGCCATCTTTGACCACGTAGGGGCGTCCATCTTTGACCACATGGGGTGTCCATCTTTGACCACATGGGGTGGCCATCTTTGACCACGTAGGGGCGTCCATCTTTGACCACATGGGGTGGCCATCTTTGACCACGTAGGGGCGTCCATCTTTGACCACATGGGGCGGCCATCTTTGACCACATGGGGTGTCCATCTTTGACCACATGGGGGCAGCCATCTTTGACCACATGGGGGTGGCCATCTTGTGTGAGGGTTTGATGGTCAATTTGCATATTATCTCTATTATATAGGATTTTTATTGATTTCAGAGGGAGAGGGAGAGAGAGAGAGAAACATCAATGATGAGAGAGAATCCTGGATCGGCTGCCTCCTCCACGCCCCCTACCAGAGGTGGAGCCCACAGCCCGGGCATGTCCCTCACGTGAATCAAACCGTGATCTCCTGGTTGATAGGCTGATGCTCAACCACTGAGCTGCACCAGCCAGGCACATCATTGATGTTTCTAGCTCCCTCTCCCTCCCTCTATGAAATCAATAAAAATGTATTTTAAAAAAGAAAAGAAAAATATACATAATATAAAAGGTACCGTTTTAACCATTTTTAGATATACGGTTCTGTGGTAGTAAGTCCATTCACTTTGTTGTGCAGCCATCACCACCATCCATCTCCAGAACTTTTTCATCACCTCAAACTGAAACTCTGTGCCCATTAAGCAGTAACTCCCCAGTTCCCTCTCTCTCCAGCCCTGGAAATCAGCATTTTACTTTCTGTATCTATAAATTTGACTACTCTAGGTAACTCACATAAGTGGAATCATACAGTGTTTGTCTTTTTGTGGCTAGCTTACTTCACTTTACATACCGTCTTCAGGGTTCATCTATATCAGCGGTTCTCAACCTGTGGGTCGCGACCCCTTTGGCGGTCGAACGACCCTTTCACAGGGGTCGCCTAAGACCATCCTGCATATCAGATATTTACATGACGATTCATAACAGTAGCAACATTACAGTTATGAAGTAGCAACGAAAATAATTTTATGGTTGGGTCACACCATGAGGAACTGTATTGTAAAGGGCCAGAAGGTTGAGAACCACTGATCTATATTGTACCCTGTGTCATAAGGTCCTTTCTTTTTTTAAATATTGTTTTATTGATTTTTTTTTTTACAGAGAGGAAGGAAGAGGGATAGAGAGTTAGAAACATCGATCAGCTGCCTCCTGCACACCCCACACTGGGGATGTGCCCGCAGACAAGGTTCGTGCCCTTGACCGGAATCAAACCTGGGACCCCTCAGTCCGCAGGCTGACGCTCTATCCACTGAGCCAAACCAGCCAGGGCAGGTCCTTTCTTTTTAAGGCTGAATAATAGCCATTGTGTGTATTTATCACAGTCTTTAAGTCCATTCATTCATTAGACACCTGAGTTTCCACTTTTGAATAATGCTGCTGTCAGCATGGGTGCTCTAGTCTCTGTTTTCCCTTCTTTGGGGTATATGCCCAGGAATTTCATAAGCTTTTGAAGGCATTGTTCTGCTGTTCCTCAGCTTTCAGTATTGCAGTTGGGACGTCTCAAGTCATTCTGAATACTGATACTTTGTATATGAGCTAATTTTTCTTCTCTAGGACTTTCTTGAATCTCCTATCATCTTTCGTGAACTGGAATTTCTTGATAGTATGCCCTGATAGGAGTCTGTTTTTTCCCAGTGTGCTGGGAGCTAAGTTGGGGATGAAAGCCTAGGGTGGGGTGGAGGCTCACCGTTTAGTATTATGAGCTCCATGCCTCTCTGGCAATGTTCCCAGAGCTGAAGGGTGGAAAGAGGGTTGAGGGTCTGGACATCCTCAACAGTTAGTACATGAACTTTGGTAAAATGCCTCTGTTGTTGGTATCTTCTCTGTCTCCTGTGTCTAGTGTCCACCTGTCTAGGGACCTCCTTCTACCCTCTCCTGAAAGTACATTTCTGATCTGCCAGGTTCTGGGTTGCAATCATGAGGATGCAGGGGTATGGTGGGGGGAGCGGGAGATCTAGGATTCTACTGTTTTTATTTTGTAACCTTTTTAAATCCTCTCCTATTAATCTTCTTTCCTGTAGCAGCTTCCCCTTCACCTCACCTCCAGCCCCCTTCTAAAATTTCTGAGCCTTTTAAAGATTCAGGTATAAATCAGGTTAAATTTTCCCTTTTTCTTATTGCCTGCTTGGCTTCGTTGTCTGATAGTACTTGCCCATTTACTTTCTACCCTCAAAAATTCTGTTGTCATCCCCTCTTCCCTTCTCCTCTTTCTTGTGGGTTTATGCATTTGGAAAGTAGCATTTCAAGAGGGAGCCAAATTACATGCCTGTGATAAATCCCTGTCTTCTCTGCAAACCCCCCCCCCCCCAGCCCCTGCACATGGCTTCCCAATGGTCCCAACACCTGTGTTGACTTGTCTGCCTTTTTGCAATGCCAACTTTATCATACACCAAATACAAAGTCCCATTTTTCTGTGGGTCCTACTGCTGAGCTTTCACTTCTGTTTCAGTAGATATTTATTGAGTACATTCCATGTGCCAGGCTCTGATCTGGGCATTGGAGGTAAAAGCACCATATAAAGCAAAGGCCCGCCTCAGGGAGAGCACATTCTAGCGAAAGGAGATAGGCAATAAACAGACAATGTCATGTAGCGATAAGTACTGGGAAGAAAAAGAAAGCAGAGTTCCCGCGTGGACTGTGAGAGTCTGAGCTGCTGGAGGTAAGTTGGCCAGAGGAGCAATGTCTTGGGAGGTGACATTGAGTAGGCTCTCCAGTGAATTGGAGACTCCAGCCATGCGTAGGTCTTTAGAGGTGGGGGGTGTTCAGGCAGAGGATACAAAGGGCCAAGACCCTGAGATCAAAACAAGTTGGGCGAGTTTGAGAAATAACAAGAATAGTGTGGCTGGACCCCTGCAGGCAAAGGGGAGAGTGACACCTGGGGCCAGATCCGCAGGGCTGGTAGGCCATGGCAGAGAGCACTATTTTATTCCACAAACAATGGGAAATCATTGCAGAGTTGAGAATAGGGGAATGGAGACATAGCATCACCTTGTTTTAAAAGCATGGCAGTGGTGGTTTTGTAGAGAACAGACAGTTGGAGGAGGCAACAGTTAGAAGGCTGTGCCCTAATGCAGGGAGAGAGAATGGTGACTTGGACCAACTTGGCATGAGGTAGACGAGGTGAAGAAGCAGTTGGTTCTATTGTGAAGGGAGAGCCAACCAAACAGATGGCTGAAGGACTGGATGAGGGAAAGCAACTGGAGTGGCAATGACTAATTGATCTCGACTAGATACTTGACATAAATTATTTTGCTTTTTCTTCATAGCCTTTTGAGAAAAATGCCTTTTGAAGAGTAGAGGAGATGGAGGCAGGTAACCTGCCTGCCATTGTACACTGGTCATTGGAGGAGGTAAGATTCTTTTTTTTTTTTTTTTTTTTTTTTTTTTTTTTTTTTTTTTTTAATATATTTTATTGGTTTTTTTTTACAGAGAGGAAGGGAGAGAGATAGAGAGTTAGAAACATCGATGAGAGAGAAACATCGATCAGCTGCCTCCTGCACATCTCCCACTGGGGATGTGCCCGCAACCCAGGTACACGCCCCTGACCGGAATCGAACCTGGGACCCTTCAGTCCGCAGGCCGACGCTCTATCCACTGAGCCAAACCGGTTCCGGCGGCAGATTCTTTTTTTTTTTTTTTTTTTTTTTTTTTTTTTTTGCATCACCTCAGTTTAATAATCCAATAAATGACAAAAAAGACAAACAATGAAAACAGCATCATATAGCACATCAGCTTGCTTTGACTCCCTCTGGATAAAATCTTCAGTTTTTCCATAGTTCTACCTAGAAATCCAGTTGTAGAATCAAATTGTGAATCCATTTCAGCTAATAATTTATTTTGAGTTTTAACTTCATGGCCTATCTCAATGGAAAGAGATTTTATAGCAGTTACTTTGTGTCTCAGACTTTCAGTGAGTCTGTCATTTTCTTCTTCACAGGCACTATATCCACTATTAGCATAGCCATAGTTCCCATAGTTGCCTTCACCCAGGCCTGCGCGCCTCATCCCGGCAGAAGGCAGAGGGAAAGGTAGGCGGAGGGGAGACAGGAAGGGGCCAGGGGTCACCGGACCTCGTCTTCGGGGCCAGGGCCCGGCAAATCACTAACTTCTTCCTCGGTAGCGCCACGACATCAGTCGAGGTAAGATTCTATTTCTGTAAGTTTGTTGCTGGCGGAAACGATGCTCTTTCACAGGCTGGTGAGAAAAGCATTTCAGGGATCCATGCAGGGGAGACTGTGGTGTGGCAAGATTTATTCTGGAAGGCTGCCCCGGGTTTTCAGTGTCCAATCTCCATCAGGGCTGCCATGGAAAAAGTCTAATCTTGTCTTCATCGGGACCAAAACAAAGGCCAGTGTCAGGAGTGTCTGTTTCCTGTTAAAGCTGAGTCCTTTGGAGCCTGCACAATCTGCTGTGGCCCCCGTTGGCTGCTAGACCAGCATGGTTGCGTGTTCCTGGGCCAGAGGGAAAGCCTGAACAACGGCCAGTGCCAGTGCGTTACTGGGTGGGCGAGAGAACTCTTCTTTGTGTCCTTGGGGATTATATCTTCTTGGATTTGGGAAGGACCAAGAGCTTTCTCAAAATAACCAATCAACTTGCCAAGCTTTTCCGGGCTTCTGATGGATTCACCCCCTGACCTATATCCATTGTTTCCCCAGGCTAGACTGACAGGCCTCTACAGGCAGGCACTCTCCCTGCGACATTTTACTTACATTGCACACGTGCTTCCCTCCTCCTGCCCCTGCCAGTCTGGTGCTGAGGGTGGGAAGGAGGGATGTTTAGCCCATTGGAGAGAGTGCTGTGAGTCCTGGAGTGTGTGTGAAGCTGTAGCTTCATGGTGAAGCAAACAGGATCATGCTCCCCAGTTTCATTATGTGTAATAGTGTCTGATTCCCTTTGCTTCCTCCTTAACATCTAGCTACCTCCGCTAACAAGTGGTAATGTCTCCTCTTCCAGTTCTGATTCTGGTACTTCTGAGTCTTCTTCCTTTTTGTCTTGGTCTGTCTAGCTAAGGGCTTGTCAATTCCTAAAAAGAAGTCTTTTCAAAAACCTAACTTTAGGTTTTGTTAATGTTCTGTTTTTCTATTCGCTATTTCATTAATTTCTGCTCTGAGCTTTATTATATCTTTCCTTCTTGATTTAAGTTTAGTTTGATCTGCTCATCTTCTTTTCCAGTGTCTTAAAGTGGAAGGTTGGGTTATTGAATTGAAAATCTTCTTTTTAAAAAAGTAAGCATAGCACTTGCCAGTTTGGCTCAGTGGATAGAGCGTTGACCCGCGGACTGAAGGGTCCCAGGTTCGATTCCGGTCAAGGGCATGTAACTTTGTTGCAGGCTCGATCCCCAGTAGAGGGTGTGCAGGAGGCAGCTGATCGATGTTTCTCTCTCATCAGTGTTTCTAACTCTCTATCCCTCTCCCTTCCTCTCTGTAAAAATCAATAAAATATATTTTAAAAGAAGTAAGCATTTAGCCCTGACCAGAGTTCTCAGTGGGTAGAGTATGGGCTTGCACCCCAGAGAGTCCCGGGTTCAATTCCTGGTCCAGGGCATGTGCCTGGGTTGCAGGTCTGATCCCCATCCCAGGTTGGGCTGCCTATGGGAGGCTACAAGTTGATGTATCTCTGTCACATCAATGTTTCTCCCCCCGCCCCCCATTTCCCTCGAAAAATCAATGGAAAAAATATGCTCACTCCTTGGGTGAGGATTAAAAAAAAAAAAAAAAGTAGCCCTAGCTGGTTTTGCTCAGTGGATAGAGCGTTAGCCTGCAGACTGAAGGGTCCTGGGTTCGATTCTAGTCAAGGGCACATGCCCAGGTGCAGGCTCGATCCCCAGTGGGGTGTGTGTGTGCGTGTGTGTGTGTGTGTGTGTGCAGGAGGCAGCCGATCAATGATTCTCTCTCATCATTGATGTTTCTATCTCTCCCTCTCCCTTCCTCTCTGAAATCAATAAAATTCCTAGTCCAGGCACATGCCCTAGTTATGGGTTTGTTCCCTGGTGAGGGGTGTGCATGAGGCAACTGATCAATGTTGATGTTTCTTTTTTATTTTTTTTTAATATATTTTTATTGATTTCAGAGAGGAAGGGAGAGAGATAGAAACATCAATGATGAGAGAGAATCATTGATTGGCTGCCTCCTGCACGCCCCCTACTGGGGATCGAGCCCGCAGTGAGGCATGTGTCCTTGACCGGAATCAAACCCGGGACCCTTCAGTCTGCAGGCGGGCGCTCTATCCACTGAGTCAAACCAGCTAGGGCAATGTTGATGTTTCTTAGTGATGTTTCTGTCTCTACCTCTCCCTTCCTTTCTAAACATTAAAAAACAAACAAATACAACATTAAAAAAAAAAAAGAAAAAGAATAAGCACTTACAGGAATGATGCCTTGGAAGGAAGTTTAACTAAATCAGATGTGAAAAACTTTTCCACATTTCAGGACAAAGGCAGTTTTTCTCATCCTGTGCAGGGCTTTACTGAGGCTAGTGCCTTTTAGCTGTGATGAACTATTGGGAGTGGAACCATGGTGGGAACTGGAAGATGGAGATAATATGAGGTAGGTCCTCACTGGGCTCCAGAGGATGCAAACAGTGGGCTGTGGGACTAAATCAACAGTGACTATGACATTAAAAACAATGCACCCATACATGTAAAACAATTGTTTTTGGAAGTATCATAATTAATAGAAAAAAATTCTTTAAACAAAGCATTTGCCCTGCTTGGTGTGGCTTAGTTGGTTGGGCGTCATCTCATGTGCCTAAATGTTGCTGGTTTGCCCAGCCCGCGTGGCTCAGTGGTTGAGCATTGACCTATGAACTAGGAGGTCATGGTTCAATTTCCAGTCAGAGCACATGCACAGGTTGCAGGCTTGATCCCCAGTAGGGAGCGTGCAGGAGGCAGCTGATCGGTGATTCTCTCTCATCATTGTTTCTATCTCTCCCTCTCCCTTCCTCTCTGAAATCAATAAAAATATTTTTTAAAAGGTTGCCAGTTTGAATCCCAGTCAGGGCACATGCCTGGGTTGTGGGCTTGATCCCCTGCGGGGTTTGTAGGAGGCAGCTGATCAGTGTGTTGCTGTCATATAAATGTTTCTCTCTCTCTTCCTCTTCCTTCATTTCATAGTATTTTCTAGTTTCCCTTGTGATCTCTTTCCATCTTCCATTGATTGTTTAGGGATATGTTGTATCATTTCCACCTGCTGGCGAGTTTCCGAAATTCCTTTTTGTTAATGTTTTCAGATTTCATTCCATTGTGCTCAGAGAACATACTTTGTATTATTTCAGTCCTTTTAAATCTATTGAGGTTTGCTTATGGCCTGACAAAGGTCTCTCCTGGAGAATGGCCTGTGTGCATTGGAGAAGAATGTGTATTGCATTTGTTGGGTGGAGAGCTCTGCAGATGTCTGTTAGGTCTCAGTGCTTTACCAGGTTGTTCAAGTCCTCTGTTTCCTTGTTGATCTTCTGCCTATTCTGTCCATTAATGAAAGTTGAGTGTTGAGGTTTCCAACTGTTACTGTTGAATTGACTCCTCCCTTCATTTCTGTCCATTTTTGTTTCATATATTTTGGTGCTTTGTTAGGTGCATATATATTGAAAATTTTTATATCTTTCTGAAGGATTGACCCTTTTATCATTATAAAACTTTCCTCTTTATCTCTAGTAACGGGCCATATTTTTAAACCCAGACAGTGACTCCCAAGCCCATGCTCCTAACCTCACACCCACCGCCCTGCCTCTGCAGGTGGGTCTTCAGGTGTTCCTCCAGCTCCTGTGTTCACAGTCATTATGGACTCACCCAGATGTTCTGTGTCAGCTGGATCTTCCTGCCCTGGTCTTGATAAGACCATTGGAAATTCTATTCTGTACTCTGGGGAAGTCCCAAATGCCTGCAGACTGCTAGTAGTTCTCATTCTCATCACCCTGGGCCCTGGACCCTCTCGCCTACAAGCATGCCCTGGTTGTGCATAGTCTTCTCATTTGAATCACTTTCCCCTACACCCCTCCCGCGTCTCCCTACTTCTCAGCAAACCTTGTTAACACAAGTGAAGGAAGCCCATTACCATTTGCTAAAATTAATTTCATTTTGCACATTAAAGTGGGTAAATTTTATTTAAAAAAAACTATGGGACATGGACAAACAATACTAAAGAGAAACAAATGTAACAAATGGTTACCTTTTTAAAAAATATATTTTGTACTGATTTTTGAGAGAGAGAGGAAAGGACATAGAGAGAAAGAGAAACCGGGATGTGAGAGCAGAACATAGATGATCTGCCTCCTGCACACACCTCGCTGGGGATCGAGTGGCACCCGGGCATGTGCCCTGACCTGGAATCAACCCAGCAACCTTTTGGTGCTCGGGATAATACCCACCCAACTGATGGGCTACAAATGGTTACCTTTAATCAACATTAGCTTTAAGTTGACCAACGGCTTACATACACAGTTAAACTATGCTTTGTTTACTTGGTTGTGGCTCTTGGGCACTCCGGACTGAAGAATCCCTTCATTTAAGTTCTTAAGGGCTCCTTGAGTCTGGGTCCACTGGTCCCTTGAGCATTTTGGTAAAAGGCGAAAGTTTTATGTGGTCTGAAGAGGAATCAGTATCCTTGAACATGTTGGAGCAGGAGGCATCTTGCAGGTCCTAGAGACAGCTGGTGTCCAGGAAAGTAAATGGGCTGGGAATTGAATTCTTCCTCCCAAATTCTCTGGGTGACCTTGGGCGACCCCTAGTGGGGAAGTGTGATAACACACACCATCCTGCAAGAATGGGTTTCAGCTGGTACTTTTGCTGCAGGTACCACATAAAAAATATTCCTTCAGTATATTTTTGCATTGTGACTTGCTTTTTATTAACTTGGATGCAGTCTTGGCATTTTTCTTTTATATCATTGTGTGCACGAAATGGGCTTCATTTACCGGCAAGTCCAGTGTGTCTTATTACTTACAATGTATTACTATTCAATAATGTCATTTTTTCTTAGCTTTTGGGATTTTTGTCCTTTCCGGGGCTTGTGAATTTCTGTTAGAATCCTCTAAACTGTATTTACATAACAAAAGTGTTTCTCTCTTATAAAACCACTTTAAGATTACATCTGATACGTGTATTTAAATTTCATTTTATGTAATAAATTTT